CCTGTGTATCGTCGCCATCACGGGCCTCCTGGTGTCCGAACTCGTTGCTTGAGGAATCGTCACTCACGGCCCAGTTGAAGTTGTACTTGGCCTCGCCTGACTCGTAGGACTCCTCAGACGAACGCTGGAACCATACAAGTATGACACATATAGCATTCTAAATTAGCATGAATGTTTTTAAGACAAGAAGTTATAAATTAAAACAGAACAGTTTTAGAAAAAGAAGAAAAACACTATTTACCCTTGGTGGTCGGTATTCATAGGACTCAAAGCTGCCCGATGCAGCAAAGGTTACCATACCCAAGAGAATGAAGACCTGTGGACGTTAAAGACATAAAAGAATTGAACAATTGTTGAGATTCCTGAATTGATTTAGAAACAACTGCAGTGATATCTTGACAAAATATATCAATCGCTTTTAACAGACACAGACACAAGAGAGCTCTCTTCACCTTCATGTTTATATCCAGTTCTGTAGTTAAAGTGGCACTGATGCTCCGCACGCGACCGCAAACATTTTATTCCGCGTCTCTTTGCCAACATGGACGCGGTGGTTAGTTGCATGAGGGAACTTTTTACTTTTTGAAAATGTTTTGAAATTGTTAGGCAATGTATGGTTTTAACAACGTAATGGGATAAAAGGTCTGTTCAGGTGCCACAGTATTAAGTTGGCTGGAAATTTAAATTTCATATAAACATAGTGTCTTTCAACACAAATAAATTCACATCTATTGCAAATACCATATATATATATATATATATATATATATATATATATATATATATATATTTGTATATATATATATATTTATTACGTGAATATATGTAAATATATATATCATGTGCATATGTATATATATGTACTTAATATATATGTATATATGTGTATATGTGTGTGTGCGCACGCACATACACATATATACATGCACATACATACACGCACATATAAGTATATTCATATATATATATACATATACAGATTCATATTAAGGGGAGTTGCCGGTTAGGGGGCAGCGAAAATATCCTTTTCTGTGTATTTTCCTGATGGTATGCATAACGACTTTCGGTGTTTTATAAAACAATATAAATTTCGATGAAATGCTCGAAAATGTAGCAGTTCTGAACAGCCTATGTTCCCGCCAGGACGTATGATCAGCTGGGAGGACACAACGGTGAGCCTCTGTTCTTCAAAGAGGGTAAGTGTACATTCGCCAGCATACCAAGACATTGAGGCTGTTCCAAAATGCCTAAGTATTCTGGGAGGAAGAGGCAACTTTCCTTTGCAAGAGACAAGAGGAAAAAATAAAAACTAAGCGGAAGATGATGAAATGAGGCTTGGGGATACAGCTGTAGCGCCTCCTGGAAATCCCAAATATCCGGGAATCCCCTACCCCCCACGGTCACACCTCTGATGCCCAGGAAGACATCTTAGTGTCCACAAAATCGGTCTCGCCTCTTCCTACTACTTCTCTGGATCATGATAAATCACGTTAAGACGTGGAAGAGAACAGGATCTGACAACGAAACGAGACGAAACAACCTTATATCTTCGCTCTGTCCCTGCGACGATGACCGCTGAAGACACTCATCGAGCAAAAAAAAGAAAACCTTTCAACAAAGAGGCAACTCTGACGCCCTCTCGAAGGAGATAATACCTGAAAGGGGTGGGTGAGCCTGTGATAAAAGTAGCCAACTAATATTTAGCGAATTCTGCGTGTTTGTGAAGAGGGTAAACTGTAAATACTTATATGGTATGAAAAATGGATAGTAAAATACATCAAATGGTATAAAGAAAGCGACTTTACAGACCAGGAAAGCAGTCTTGAAAAGTATTCTCAACTTTGTGAAATTAAATATCTCATTACATGATTTTTTTCTCCTTTGAAATGTATCCCCTCGATTTTAAGGAAGCAAAGAATCGACTAAAGGGGAAAGCCAGCATTGTAACGTAACAATGCGATATTTCTCGAATAAATGGCACAAAACTTTAAAAAACAAAACAAAAAAACAAGACAAATAAAACCAGATTTAAAGAAAATGGCTCACAATAACCTTTCATTCATGTGAGGCTCATGGCTATACAATAAAAAATAGAAGATATATCTTTAAAAAACAACTGGCATCCAAGTTGATTCATACGGTAGTTTTGGAACAAGCTCTCCCACGACCACTTTCCGCCTATCTTATATTGCCCCGTGAAAGGGTGATACGGAAGACTGCACCTGAGGGAGACCTCCCTCCCCTCCTCGTTACCACACAACTGATTTAAGAAAAGTCAAAGGCAAAAACTGAAGCATGGGATCGGTACTGTCGCAGGAATTGCCAGAACCAACCTGAAGTCAACAATCATTGCTTTCGAGATTCTAGTTCTGGACTTCTCTTCAGGGTTTGCTTACTTTAATATCTATGTAGTGGACTCAATTAGTAGTTACAAACAATATATGTTTGTTTGTTTGTACAACAGCTCTTTATTCCACTGCAGGATCTAGGCCTCTCCCAA